TAAGTAGGGTGGCTATAGTCATAACCTCGGTTACTTATTACCCACTTATATCTCCTCATGAGCCTCCCAGTATACCAACATACAGCCATGTATATCTGTATGTGACATGACAGGATGCCTTTAGCAATCGAACAAATACCATTTTTTTTTTTTTTTTTTTNNTTTGGGGGGGGGGGGGTCCTTGTTCTAGTTATAGTATAATATACCCCAAAACCCTATTCTACTTACTAAGCCCCCTGCATTGTGCACGCGCATCCGAGAATGTTTGTGTGGTCGAGGAGTTGTTGAACCCCAACTTCGCCCGAAACGCGTAAAACCTGAACCCTGATTTAGGGTTTATTGTTTAGCAGTTTAGGGTTTAGGGGTTTTAGGGTCTAGGGTTTAGGGATTAGGGATTAAGGATTTAGGGTTTAGGGGTTTTGGGTTCAGGGTTTCTCGAACCAAAGCAGTAGTAAAACCTGTAAACCCTAAACCCTAAACCCTAAACCCTAAACCGTGTAAAACCTGTATAACATGGATCCTGATAGCCCCTTAAAGTACCCCTAGCCAACCCCACAACCACCGCTAGGGCAGGTGGAGCCAGTGGCGTTTGTGGGCTGGCTTGTTTAGGGGGTTTTTCAGGGTGCTAGTAAGCAGGTGGACCCGAAACCCTAAACCCGTGAAGGAAGCCTTTAAAGAACGAACCTTAAATTAAAGGAACCCATAAAGGAACCCTCAAAGGAACCCCAGCAATCAGGTGGATCCTCTTGTGCTACTTCACGCCTTGGTACCTGAATCTGAACGGAAGAACTTCGCAGTGCGAGTCACCGCCGGGAGTTTCGCGAACGATGAGCCTCGCTCTCTTTGGCTCCTTTAGGTTCTACCCTAAACCCTTAAACTTAGGATTTAGGGTATAGGGTTTAGGGTTTAGGGTTTAGGGCCCTAAACCCTTAACCGTAAACCCTAAACCCTAAGCCCTACGTTTTAGTTTTGCAAGGCTGATCGAAGTTACCTACGGAGCTACTGGGTTTTGGTTGGTTTCAGAGTCTTTAGATTTCGGTTGGAGGGGGATTTGTATTTCGGCTCATGAATTCGGGCTTGTAGGAGCATTCGAGACCGACATCTCCACACGCGAACCCATACACCCCGAGCCCTCAGCCCCTACGGTTCAGGGTTTGGGGTTTAGGGTTTAGGGTTGGTTTGGAGTCACTATCATAGGGTCTAGCGTTTAGGTTTCAGGGTTTAGCATACTATGTAGGGTTTGGAATAAGTAGCCCCTGATAGTCCCTATGTTGGCCCGTTTATTTCTATCATACTATGCTGCAAAACCCCGTTGTTGAGCCTAGTGTTTTAGGGTTTTAGGGTCTTAAGGCCCATACATTAAGCCTTGAATCGAGGACCGCGATCAGGTCTACTCGCTCTTCAAGCTTCAAGGCTTTGCGGGCCACAGCCTCAGCATCGGGTCGTTTCTGAGGCGAAGTAGAACGGGACCGAATCATCAGTAATATTATTTCTGAGGGTTCCTTAAATGATCGTAGTTATAGTAAGATAATTTCCTTAAATTACCTTAGTTATAGTAAGATAACTTCGTTAAACTACCTTGGTTATAGTAAGATAATGTACCTCGAACCGCAGCCTCTAAGTGTTCAGGCCCCATGCCTCGACACTTTAGGGTTTAGGTTTAGGGTTTAGGGTTGAGGGTTTAGGGTTTAGGGTTTAGGGTTTGCGTCTCCGCCAGGGTGCTGACTCGCTGACCATCCCTAAACCCAAGCACAGGCCAGCTCAACCACCCTCAAAGCCCTGATCCCTAAACCCCGAAAAACTTCAATACTTTAGTACGAGCTTAAATATTACTTACTAGTACCGTTCCTGAGGACTCGTTTCAAGCCTTTGGATTCTAGTGTACCCCAAAACCCTACTCCGTTTGTCAAGGCCCCCAGTATATATGGACCGTTAAACCCCAAAACCCTCAACCCCAGACCCTAAACCCCAAACCCTACAACCCCAAACTCTAAACCCTAAACCCCAAACCCCAAACCCTAAACCCTAAACCCTAAACCCTAAACCCTAAACCCTAAACCCTAAAGCCTGAGGTGTGGCTTTGGAGTCTAACCTTGGAGCCCTCCAGGAGTTCCGCCTGTGTTCTAAGGGTTCCTCTTAAGGGGTCCTCTTTAGGGTTCCTCTTAACTTAAGGGTTCCTTTTAAGCGTTCCTTTTACGGGTTCCTTTTAAGGGTTTAGGATTTAGGGTTTAGGGTTTAGGGTGCAGGGTTTAGGGTTTAGGGTTTAGGGTTCCTTAAAGGGATCCTTGAGGCGTTCCTGATTTGAAGGGTGTAGGGTTTAGGGTTTGGAGTTTAAGGGTTCCTTCAAGGGTTTAGGGCTTTTGGGGTTAAGGATTTTCTTAAAGGGTTCCCTGCAGTGTGTTTATGGTTCCTTGCAGGGTTCCTCAAGCCAGGCTTTGAGTAGTTTCTCGACAGGCTCCTTTCACGGTTGCGTGCGGGTGCGTTCAGAGCCTTGCATTGCAGGTCTGCGGTTTGTATGTGTGAGGTCTGACTGGTGACATTGGTGCGTCAGCAACGGGTTCCTTATTAGGCGGGTTTAGATTTTCGATTGGGTGGTTAGTTTGGGGGTTTATATAGGGGCCTAAATACCTGCCAATACTCGCTTGGGGGCTCCTTAGTATAATTATAGTATAAGATACCCCAAAAACCCTGTTCTAATTATTAAGGCCCCTACATTAGACGTTGGCATCTACTGGCATGATTATGGGACTTAGTAAGTGGGGTTACATGAATAGGAGGCCATGGTTATGCCCACTTATAGCTACGAGTATGGTACTTCTTTTCTAATCCTACTGACTGAGTCCCCTGATCCCTTAAGCAGTAGGGTCTTTACAGTGAACTTTTACAGGCGTTCTGTAAGGGTTCTGCTACTTGACGGTTCTTCAAAGAAAGGTTTAAGGTGTATGACTTCGGGCTTAGATGTTCGAGTTGAGGGTGTTGATTTCGAGCTTAAAGTTTAGTTTAGGGTTAGTGGCTCACTGCTCGCATCAAGTAGTGCATTCAACTTCCAGTGATACCGCTTCCCTGTTGGAGGGTATCGGTCTTGCTGCTCATCTTAAGCTTCATGTGGTTTGCCTTCAGGGCCACCGCGATCACCCCACCCCCACCCCCACCCCCACCCAACCCCTAAACCCTAAACCC